ACCTCTGGTCTCAATTGTATATTAATCTTTAAAATCCTCTGAATCAGTGTATGAATTTGAACCAGAATTTTCTAACTTTTTTACACATTCACCAAACAGGGTAAAATGTCCTTTCATGTTGTTCACATTTCCAACATAAATTGGAAGTGTCTTTATACATTTTTAGTTATTCCAAGAGTTTCTATGAAATATTTTAACACTGGATGTGACAAGTGCAGCCTGGGAATTGCAAGTGGACCACCAGAATCTGTTTTGTGGACTCAGAGCCTCCTCAAATTTTTAACCACTTTTTCCATTTTGGATAATTGGGGAGGGTTAAAAGCCATGTATATCTTTAAGGCACCCATTGCAATACTGTAATCCTGATCAATCAACCAATCAATTCCAAATACTTATGGAAGTCAGCCCTATGCAAATTGTAATGGCCTATTGGAATGACCTTGGGAGACAGGGTGGAGAGATGCTGCCTAGGGAACTGTCAGATAAGAGGCAGCATAGCCCGCAGCTGGATAGTGGGTGAGGCAAGAAGCTCAGAAGGGACCCTCCCTAATTTCTAGGACTGTAAAGGAGTTGGGGGAGAGAATTGTACTTTCAGACTTGCAAGGTTCTGTTGATTTGATTTATTGTAAAGATGTAGCTGTACAATAAAGTAGAATTAGCTCATCTGTTCATGTTTACTAACTGGTTTGCCCCATGAGGCCAACACAAATTGATCTGAACTGGCAAAAAAAGTTGTTTTCAATAAATAAACTGGGTGAATGTTTAAACTAAAACACTCCATGTATGCCAGTAAATAGAATACTGTATAAAGATTAGTTTTCAACTCCATTATCTTGATCAAGAGCAGAGATAAAATAAAACATAGATTTGCACGTGTTTTCCTCTTGTGTTTTTCTTGCTGTTGAAAAGAGAAGAGAATCTACTCCTCCTGGGTCAATCTTCATCTCTTTCCAAGGTGAATGAACTGCTTTAGCTGATCAAGGAACCATATTGCACTCTGGTAAGCAACACTGATTTAATGTTTGCGTAAGTGGAAACTCAAACTCTGCTTTCTAAATGTTTACAGCAGATCATTTGCCATTCTGCTTCTATCCCCTTCTCCTAAGAAGGATCAATGTGGTTTTATAGCAGGAAGGCAGG